TTTTCGGAGTTCTTCTTCCTCATATTTTCTAAGTATGTATTTTCAACATAATGTAAGACGAAGGATTCCCCAATGATGAGTCAGTCTTGTACTTATAATAAAAAGAAAACTCTCAAAACTTAATATAATAATAAACTTATTTGACATAATACACAGGTAATTGATACCCAAAAGCTTGGTTCACTTGGCAGTGCACATAACAACACTAATCATGTGGGCTCTAGTGTGGGGTTCCGTTAATCAACATACAAACACTTGGACAAGGTAGTAAAAGTGCTAAAGGAACAATTCTCATTTTACTCCATGCAATGTCTTTGTACTAGGCTGCCCACTCATTTAATTCATCGCCTTGCATGTGTTGGAAACAAAGTCCACGTTGCTAGTTAATTCAATTAGCATACACTTTAATGCTTCAAAAGGGTCTTGGTTGATGATCAACGATCACATGTGCAGCGGGCCCACTCCTATATTGTCCTTCTGTAATTGCCGAATTAATCCTACAAGGTAAATTCAATTTTAGCACACAATTTAGCATAAATGGTAGGAATTATCATGCAAGGAATACAAATTTTTCCTATATAAATAAACATGTTTACACAATATTTAGCCTTCATCATAGTTCACCATTAGATTTAAAATAGGTAAGTGAGACAATACTCTCATTATTATTCACATTTCCCCCTTAATTGAAGTAGTTAGTGACAGTCTTCTTCGTTAAGATATCTATTAGGTTGTTAGGGTGATTTCTCCCATAAAAGAAACAGGTGTGTGGTTTAAATGGGATGTCTTCTCTTTAGTAAATCTACCATGAATCAATGGAGATATCCTTTGTTCTTCTCTCTCTCCCCGAAAATTGCGATATGGTTTAATGTATCCATCAATATTTCTGGACTTGTGATATATGCTTTATATTGATATTTAATTCTTTCCTTTCCCCTACTCTCCTACAATATGGATAATCTAAATGTGGGAGTTTAGGGGGTATAAGCGGTTCTTCAGACGGGCTATGCTTGAGACATCGGATTTCCTGAAGGATGATTGCTTGAAAATAAATTGCACTGTTGGTGTTGTGGTTTCAGCTATAGATTGTTCGAGATTAAACTTGATACAGATCCCTGATTCTGATATTGGAGCACATTTTGGAATGTTGTTGGAGAATGAGGAAGGTTCAGATGTTATTTTTGTGGTAGCTGGAGAAAAGTTTCATGCTCATAAGCTGGTATTGGTTGCTCGATCTCCTGTATTCCAAACAGAACTTTTAAATGTAAAAGAAGAAGATTGTCATGAAAAGGAACTCCAGGGAGAGGCTTACTGTTCAAGAAACATGGACATCTTCAAGTTGAAGTATACACAGATGCAGACTGGACAGGAAGTGTTATAGACAGGAGATCAACATCCGGATACTGCTCCTTTGTAGGTGGGAACCTAGTTACATGGCGGAGTAAAAAACAGAATGTGGTAGCTAGAAGTAGTGCAGAAGCAGAGTTCAGAGCTGTTGCTCATGGAATCTGTGAAGTAATGTGGATTAAAAGAATTCTTGAAGAATTAAAGCTTTCTCACCCGACACCTATGAAGGTCTATTGTGACAACAAAGCAGCTATATCTATAGCTCATAATCCAGTTCTACATGATCGCACAAAACATATAGAAGTGGATAAACATTTCATCAAGGAGAAAATCAATGCTGGCATAATCTGTATGACCTACCTTCCAACAGGTGAACAATTAGCTGATGTGCTAACGAAGGGACTACACAAGAAGCAATTTGATAAGCTGACTAGCAAGCTGGCTATGGAAGATATCTTCAAACCAGCTTGAGGGGGAGTGCTGGAAATTTGTGTTAATGTATATAATAAGATGGTGGCATGTATATAATATGATAGTGGTGTTGGTGAAGGATAGTGGCATGTATAGAATATGATTGTGGTGTTGGTGGTAGATAGTGGCATGTATATAATATGATAGTGGTAGATAGTGGTAATATATAATATGTAAGTGGCATATAATGGGTTATAATGATGTTTGTAATATCTCCTATATAAGGAGTGTCATTTGGTCTTGTAAGATAAGAAGTTTTGAATATAACAGAAATATATTCCTTCTTCCTCATATTTTCGAAGTTCTTCTTCCTCATATTTTCTAAGTATAAATGTAACATATTCATTTAGATCTGATAGTAAAATATTATGATGGGTTGCTAATGCTTCCCAAATGTCACACATTTTTTAGGTCATTAGTCAACAACTCCCCATGTTAGCCTACACATATCCTTTTGATGAGAACCACCAGGGAAACTTAAACCATTATGCACTTCCATGAATGCGAAGCACAAAGTCTTAACAAATTAGCATCTTAACATCAAAAATAAATTTTAGGTATTAGCGTACATGTCGTAGAGGAAGAGAGACACCAGCAGGCAGCAAGTCTAGCTGTTGCAACCCAAATCTTTCCCCAACCAATGCCAAGACTGTTAACTCCTCACGGGTACAAGAAGATCCAGAGGCAATATTGCAGCAAACACCAGATGAGAGTTTCTTCCCTATCTGTTCTGCACCACATGATAGACTATAAAAAGCAACTATCTTCCGGGCCCAGCTTACTGCAGAACTTCCATCTTTACGAACGAGAAGTGGAAGATCACTAATATTAGCAGCATTACAGCCATGTTGCAAACAGTTTTCAAGCCATCTGAATAAACTAGGAGGAGTTTTCTGGGAAAATGAGGTTCGGCATATCCCAAAGTTTTTTGATAGACGAGGAAAGTCGCGTATATAATGGTCCAAATAGCTGTCTTCACCTAGGAAATGAGCTATATTACAAAGTAGAACCACCAGAAGACCCAAGTCCCTGTAATGAAAAATTCAAATATTCAACTCAGAGCACAATAGGCAGCATGTGTCTAAACAAATTTACAATAATATTTTAAAATTTTAAGATTTTATTTTAAACAAATTTATTTTTAAGATTTTAAAATATCTTATGATACACGATCCAACATGCGATACAAAATTCAGAAAAATAGAAAATTAATTTCCCATTTTTTTCCCAGGTGATGGGGGTATGTTACTGCATTATCCAGGTAAACTAGTTATCATGATTTTACTCCTTCGGAAATTTAGAGATAGGCATCAAACAACCATATAGGATGGAATATAGATGTTCATACATCATTATCAACCAAAACATAAACACATTTTTAGGAATACAGAATATATATATATATATATATATTGAATCACGACTAAGCAAATAGAACCAAGGAAGCACCAAATCAAGAATCTTCAAAAGAAACAGAAATGGTTGCATACACACATAAAAAGTTCTTTACCAAAACTGATTATCACCACAATTATACATAAGAAATCAGAGTTTACCGTTTGCGAAGATTGTCTAGTTTCAGACTTTCATATAATGCATGTAAAGCATCCAGAGTTTCCATCAATAGCTCAGTGTATAATGATTTAGCAGGGGACTGTGCACTATCTAGAAATAATTCAGATGAATCTGATCCCTTCAGATCAAGTGATGTTCTGGGAGAAAATCCAATACAAAATTTCTTTTTATAGTTCTTGTGAAAATCACTGTTGATAAGAAACTCCCACGATGACTGTAAACCTGAGTCTGAAATCCTTTGGGGGATAGGCCTTCTGCACATTTGCATTATAACACTACAAAAGGACTCCCACTCTGAATCAACACTAGAATCTGGCTTAGCTAAATAAGCAGAATCACCATTGCCCCATAGAAGCAAAAGAAATTCATTATAGGAACTAGAAGTGAGCCCCTCAGCCATTGCTGCAATGCAATCAGTTGCCAATGATGACGAAGGACTTCTTCTCAATGTACATCTGTAAATCTTGGACCATAAAAAACATCATTACAGCTATATGCTTACCAAACAAAGCAATTAAAAATTGACAACATAAAAAATTATCAAGATTAACATTTGTAAAGAAGCCGTGTTGGACTTACATCACCTTAAGGTAACCCAAAAAAAAACATAGACAACAAAATCTATTAGCATACCTGCCCATTATTCACAATTACATTGACACGTCCTTCAACAGCATCAGCCAATCCAACAATTTTTAGATCACGAAGAGCAGAGGCTATTTCTGAAGGCTCCAAAGTATGTGAAACCGGATCTTTTCCCAAAAAAGAAGGCAACACATACCTACACAGGCATTGCTTCCCAGACTGCAGTTAGAAAAGCTCACATATGTTAAAGACGTAGATTTTAACATCATACTATTAAGCAACAGGCACAGCAAACTTTTACAAACAATACTTCAATAGATAGAGAAAAGAAAGAAAATAATAAGTTAAGATGCTTTTAGAACTATAAAACCAACCAAACTAAGCCTTGTGTCTCAATCAAGTGGGTTCGGCAACATGAATCTCTCTTCACCATTCCGCTTTGTCAAGGGCTATATAGTTAGCTAAATTAAATAAGGCCTGGTTTGGCATGTCTTAAAAAAGCCAAAAAGTTACTCAAAAAGTTAAAAAGTTATCACTATTCACCAAAAAAAAATATTAAAAAATTAATTTTACACATAAATTTCAAACAACTCTGACGTCCCACAGGCGGAGCTGACTTTTTGGAAAAATTGCACTTATTTAGGTGCACAAATAACACGGTGTTGTTCGGCCCGTGGGGGCCATCACGGGTCCCGTTTTAATAATCTGAACCGTTCAATGTATAGAACTCGTCGAGTATTATATGCCTGTAAAAAATCACGTTGATCGGATATCGGTAACTATATGATCAAATCAATTAAAATTTATAAAATGGATGGTGTTATAGTTAACGGTTGAAAAAAACTAATTCGATCCGATAGCTATCGATATCCGATCAACGTGATTTTTTACAAGCATATAATACTCGACGAGTTCTACACATTGAACGGTTTTGATTAGCAAAACGGGACCCGTGGTAGCACCTCCAATTCAATCCCCGAAAAGCAGGGAATCATATCCCAGCCTACACTCTGCACACGCTATCCTGAATTCATTCCACCGTACCGCCTATTCCATCCTCATCTTCTCCTATACACTAATTTATACAATTTTTTAATACACATTTTTTCATAAAAAGTCAAAGTTATCCCAAACAACCATCTTTTTTTCTCAACTTTTTAGTCCAAAAAGTCAAAAATGCACTTATTTAAAACACCCCAAACAACCCCTAAACCCCTATCCTCTTTTTACTACCGCATCCCATGACAACTTAGTTTTCCCCTCCCCTCAACATTTCCATTTATGGTTAGAGCATCTCTAATCCTTCACCAAATCCTCCATCAAATTTAAATTTGATGAAAATGAGGTCCAATCCATTCATCAAACTTGTATCAAATCAAGGGAGGAGGATGACCAAATCAAGGATGATCAAATCTTTCACCAAATTTCCAACAAGCCTTTTTTGAATAAAGTTCGATGAAATTGTTAAAAAACGAAGGTTTGAAGATTTGGGAGGAGGATGACCAAATCAAGGATGATCAAATCTTTCACCAAATTTCAACAAGCCTTTTTTGAATTAAGTTTGATGAAATTGTTAAAAGATGAAGGTTTGAAGATTTTTTTTTTTTTTGTTTTTTTTTTTTTTTTGGGGGGGGGGGGGGGTTGGTTTCACCAAAATTGTTGAAGTAAGTTTTTTGGATAGGTGAGGTATATTTAAAAACCTCGGATGAAAATTTTGATTCTCACCATTGGAGTGAGCTATATCAAATCAAGTTTTTAAACTAAAATTCTTCAACAAGTTTAACGGAAAAATAAATAAATAAATAAGATGAAGGGTTGGAACTGGAAGGCTCTTACATGCCACAATTAAAATAATGAAGATCAAAACTTATTACATTCAAGCAAGATGAAGACCTATGGTTGTGCAAGAAAAAATGTGTAAAATGATATTAGTATGTTAAAATCCACCTACTCTCCACCTACTTCACCCACTTAAACCTACTCCACTAAACCTAACCCACTACACCACTACCACCTCACCTACTCCACTAAACCTAACCCACTACACTACTACCACCTCCACTTCACCTACTCCTTACCTACTACACACTCACCCTCTTCTATATATAGGATTCATGAATCATTGTAATTGATATCAATATATCAATCAATAATAATACATACAATTTATTCTCTCTCTTTCTCTATACATTATTTCTTCACCTACTCCTTACCTACTACACACTCACCCTCTTCTATATATAGGATTCATGAATCATTGTAATTGATATCAATATATCAATCAATAATAATACATACAATTTATTCTCTCTCTTTCTCTATACATTATTTCTTACATAGTATTTAAGGGGGCGTGCTGTCTAACCTATACACACACACACATATATATCAACCCTTCAAAGGCAAGAAATAGTGGCTTAACAAGGAGTAGTGTATGCAAGACTGCAAACATGAAAAAACTTATCTTGACAAATGACATCATATGGACTCAACGAGACGCTACGTTACACGGACTCAGGTACGAATATCGGGTGCGGGTGCATATCTAAGGGTCGGACATCTTAAAATTGAAAATGAAAGATACGGGGATATGGATCCAAATTTGGATACGGGTACGGGGATACGGTAAATAGTTATTTTTAAAAAATATTTATTAAATTATCATGTTAAAAACTTATCTAAATAAATTTTTAAATAATATTTAATTGATTAAAATAGTATAAAAATATTTTTAAATAATATTTAATTAATTAAATATAATATAAAAACATTTTAAAATAAAATTATTATCTTTGTAAAGTTATTATTTTAAAAGTAATGAGGTGAGAGAGAGTCTTTATTGTCTTTAAATAATAGTAGGGAGAGAGAGAGTCATTATATTTAAATAAAAAAGGCATAGTGGTGAGATATTATTTAAATAGAAGTAGAGTAGTCAGTAGCTTGCTGAGTTGAGAGAGTCATTCTTATCTTTAAATAATATTGGGGTGAGAGAGAGATTGAGAACGATACGGGAGAGAATGACAGATCGAGAGAGAGAGGGAGAGAGAAGAGGAGATCGAGAGACGAAAGAACAGGAGAGATCGAGAGAGGGAAGAACACGAGATCAAGATCGCAACTGGAGAGAGAAGAACAAGAGATTGAGAACGCAACTGGAGAGAGAAGAACAAGAGATCGACACAAGTACATGTAAGGAAGATGAGATCGACTTCGCACTTCGACTTCGTCGTGTTGAACTTTGCGTCAACATTTCAGGTTTCTTTTCCTTTCCATTCAAATCAAGTTGTGAAATTCTGGATTTCCTTGGTTTGTTTCTTCTCATCTTACCCTCTTCCTGTTCAAACCAAGAACAAAAAAGAAATTTTGTAACAAAAATATTATAAAACAACAATTAGCCATATCCATTTTTATTTCGCCGTATCCCAGCCGTATCCCGTACCCGTACCCGTGTCGTGTCGTGTCGACACGGGTACCTCCCAAAAATGAACGAGTCCGTGTAACGTAGATGAGACGTACAACACTTATGAAAGTTTAGAGAAGACAAAAGGTTAGGGAATAAGTTAGACTTCATTCCCTTTTATATTGATAATACTGAGTATAATATAAGGAAACACAATCACGCATTTCCTATTCTTACTTAATTCCTATTCTAACACAATTCCTATTCTAACACTCCCCCTCAAGCTGGTACGAAGATATCTCTCATGCCCAGCTTGTTGAGAATGCCATGAAATGTTTTGCTCCCTAGTCCCTTGGTGAGAACATCAGCTAGTTGGTCTTCAGTCTTCACAAATGAAATACATATGATACCACTAGTGAGTTTTTCCTTGATGAAGTGCCTATCAATCTCCACATGCTTAGTTCTATCATGTTGAACTGGACCAAAACCTACCACTTCACCTACTCCACCTACTACATACCTACCTCCTCTAATCTTCTATATATAGGACTCATTGTAATAGAAAAGATACTACAATCAATAATACAATCATTTCTCTTTATACATTAAATTTCTACATGGTATCAGAGCAGGTTTAGAACCTAGTATTTTCGCTTCCCCGGCGGGCGGCAACCTCACCTTAGCCGCCCGCCGGACCTCAACCTATTCCATGGCAGTGACATACAACCCAACAGAGCTGAGCTCTTGCGTGGGTGCAATCACATCAAACACACCTCCATCAAAGCTGTGCTGCTCTAAGATCAAGGAGCAAAAGCCTTGCCTTTGCACCACCACTGTATGCTCAACAACAAGACCCACTCGGTTGGGACTTTCGTCGAACACTTCGTCTACACCCTCATCGTCGTCGTCCTCCTCCTCCTCTTCCTCCGCCACCGCCGCCGCTATCGCCGGCGTCAAGGAGTCGTCGGCGATGCAAAAGCGGTTTCAGAGGCTGAGCCGCAACGTTTCCGAGGCCATCGCCTCGCTCAAGAACTCACTCAATCTCGACTCGGCTCGTGAATCGCCTCCGCCGCCACAGTCTCGGATCGAGAGCTGCCGGAAAGTCGTCTGGGGCAGCGTTGTGAGGAACTTGACTCAACTCTATCCCGGTAGTCAGCTTCCAGAGAAGCTCGTCTCCAACATCCGCAAACACTACGATTCATTACCACTCAGCTATGCACAGGCTGGATTTGATATGAAAGATGTGTTTATGCATATCAAATTGATAGAGCAAGCTTCCGTGGATGATCAGCCGGCGATTTTGATTCAAGAGGTTTTTGATGATGAAGTTCAAGGCTCTGTTTTTAAGCTTACATTTGCTTGTAACTCTGCAATTTCTTGGGCAGCCATGTCCGGTGCCCTGGATAGCGCTTCGATTTGTTGCAAGAAGATACAGATTTTTGAGAAAAAGAGCGTGCCGTTGAATATTGCAGGTGTTGCACTTATGTCTTTCCCTGTTTTGAATTCCCACTTGAGACTTAGGTTTGAAACAGTTGATGGGCTGATCTTGGATTCTCCATGGGCATGTCTCTGGTTATATATATCACCGCCATGGTTCAACCAATCTCCTGAATTTGAACCTGTAGTGAGACTCAGAGTGTGTAGACAAAAGATGCATAAGAAAAGCAACAAAAGATTCTTCTTGTTACAGGTTTGTGTTGGTGACAACTGTGGGATATGAACCCACGCTCTTTTTCTCATCTATCACACATCCACCACCCACGTTATTTCACACTTTTTGTTAGAATATAATATGTAAAATGTTGCTTTAATAATTAGGTTA